AATTTGGACTAATTTGGTTGGATTAACAAAATGTTTGCGCACTATGAATGGTCCATCTGAAGTTGTTATCTTTGGGCCGTAAACGTACCGTTTGCTGTATATTATCATAGTAATGATGCTCATTTACTAGCATTCGATTGGTTCAGAGAAAGACCATTTGAGTTTCACGATACCGTAGCAGCATGAAAGTCTTTACAGTGGTCTTACCTTGCCATGGACAAGTCAAAGACACCCAAGAACTGTCTTAAAGATGTCTGGTACATAATGTTCACCATACTCATTTCAACGATCAAGAAGTACAAGATACTGCCTCGAGTAGCAACCGGACGGAACTCCTCGCGAGCCAGGTTGATCTTGGTCTCCGTCTCTGCGGCTACAGCGAGCTTCTCACTGACTTCTTCTGCTGTCTCTTTTGTGATCTTCAGTACAGCCACGAGGGATTCATCTTCTACCAAGGAACCCTTTGAAGAAATAAAAAAATGTTAGTACCACGTAAATAGGAAGCCATCAGTGAATGCTTCCCACGTAACCCGTTTCTTGCGAAACTGTTGTTGCTGCTAAGAATATTAATTAATCTTACAGCTTATTGGACGATAAAAAAAACTGGAATTCCATATACCATCATCACCATCGATCTTATTTGCTCCATTAAAAGTTTACATCAGGATGTAGCAAGTTGAGAATAATTTTTTAACAATACAGGGATTAAATAAAAAGGGTTTCAAACCTGAGTGCTGGTGAGCCTGTAAAGCAAGTTGTCTTCAAGTTCCTTCATCTTTCTCTTATTGCTAGTTACATCCTCCATCAACTTCACTCGCTCGGCCTCAAGTTCCTGCCACAGATACATAAATCACTTGTGGTTAATGACTGTCATACGGAAGGTCCATTAGATCAATTTACTATCTATTTACCTGCTTCTCAGTGTTGATGACTCTACCAAGCAGCTGTTCCTCTAATCCTTTCATTGTCACCGTGAAATCGATGATTGCGGTACGTGCGCTGATCTGGAAGTGTTAATCATCAGTAAATACTTTACTCGTGATATTATCTCTCTTAGATGCATCATGATGGTAACATGGCAATCAAGGCTCACAATAGATGTTGAATCGTGTATTATGTACACGGACAAGATTACTTTTAATAGAGAGTGACCTCATAAATACTGCGCGATAGAGCAGATTGTGCACGCGTATGAACGTGGCGTGGTGCGGCGTTCCGTGCCGTGCTGTTATTCTGTCCAAGTAATTTGATTGACTTTTTCTCGCTCTGATTGAATAAACTAATTCAGTACCGTGACCGTATGTTTTGCCATGCTTGTCATACTAATCACGAAAGCTGCTCTTAGAACATCATGGGCCGTCGTTTGCCCCACTCTACCCCCAAAGAAAAGAAAAAGACAAATACCCCAGTTAATTAACTGGCATGGACGTATCTTACCTCTGGTGTGTAAGCAGGGTTACCTAGCTTGGTGGTAACATACATCCTGAATCCATTCATCACATCACACTCTTTATCCCCGACTTTAACCTTGTACGTAGAGCCAGACTTGATGAAGTTTTTCTCCAGGACATTATCCAGTGCAGGGTCAAGCTCCTCGCCGACATCCTCGATCAGTAGTGGTCGGCCAAGGGACAGAGCGTCTTCAAGGTGATTACGGAAGTATTTGTGGTTCAGAGACGTCACCTGGAGGTGGGGGACAAAATCAAAACCTTGTATTTAATAAAAAGCTTGTCCGTTAGGAAAGAGGAAGCTTTAGGTGGTGATGTAAAAAGGGTGTTTGGGGCGTTGTTGTGATTACAGAAGAATCGCTAAAAGGTATTAATATAATTGCAAATCTATTCTACCTCCTTCAGTGAAGGTACTGGTCGCAGCTCTATAAGTCACCGAGGTGCGAAAGAGAGATTAAAGAGACCTTAAGCACGGACGGCGTTCTTGCTAGGTACCACAAACCTCAAACTGCAGTTCGACGTCAGATCTTTTTCGTCAAACTTTCGACATTTAGCAAGGCGTCATAACAAAGTTGTAGCTGGAAGAGCCGCCATATTGAATCTCATTGATGCCGAGTTTTTCTCCTCCGTRTTTGCAGGCGCGTTTCTGGACCTGATCCCTAGCGTTTGGCGGTAAACCTGATGCTAAAGGTCTCTAATGGCGATTATACTCCTTTATTGGAAGTTCAAACACATTACACTGAAGCAAAGCTTACGATAAAACGACAAGGTGATGCCACTGATCTGATTTAGTTACCTGTAGGTCGTTCTTCTTCTCGCGATTAAGTAACCAAGTCTTGCCCTGCGTCTGGGGGTCGATGAGAAGAGGGTACCTCGTTGCCTTGGTAACAATGGTACCATTTTGAATGGACAGTTCATCACTAGGCAACCCTTCTAGATTCCATTCACCAATCTAGGGGGAAAATAAAGAGTTTAATAAAGAGAATCGATACATACGGTAAAGTAAAGTAAAGGAGGAAGTTTTGTTACTGATTTCTAGCTTCAAATCGAAAAAGCAAATTCTTAAATATTTCTAAATTGAATAAAAAAAGTACGAACAAAAGCTCGGAATTTCACATCTCCTGGCGACTCCCTACTCTTCAACACTAGTTCCTTTGTACGACACGACACGCCGCTCTCMTTTGAACTAATCAGATGGCTCCAGAACTGAACCGCCCAGTCACGACACAATATTTGCACCGAAATCTTTTCTAAAAGATCGAATGATTGTAAAGGATCGACTACTCACCGTAGAAACATCAGTCAACATGGATGATAAGTTGAGATTCTTGGTGAAAGGAATCTTGTTTTCCAGCATTTCTTTTTGCCATCTTTCGGTCAGCAGAGTACGGAAGGACTGGTTGAAAGGTCCGCTGTAGGAGAGAAAACCAGTTGCCAGCAACACATCGCCGACCAGCCTGTATAATCACCGAATTTCAGTATCACACAATGATATAAGATCCTTGCCAAATAAAACTCTTGGTATGATAAATATTTGGATGCAAACAAATACCCTTCATCATCAGAATACAAGCCTCCCTCAACCGATCAATGTTGTTTGATAGAAATGTCTCCCCGTTGAAACGACACGGAGTGGCGGGGTCACACCATCAGAACCACGCCTTTACAATGAATAGTGTACAAGTAGGCTAGGGAGGGGGTTGCTATTGAGCTGGTAAAAACGTTCAAAGAAATCGCATAAATTTTAGAAAAGGGCAACATTTTGCATCAAAAACTGCACTAAAAGCAAGTAATATTCGAAGAAAAGTTATTTATATAGGTTAAAAATTAGGTTACGAAATAAACCAGTTAGCATACACGTAAATGAGGAAGATAGTAATACAGAAGAATCGTTACCTTCCAATTTGTTCCTGGAATTCTTTACTCTGTTGAGTCCATCTTACTTTCTCTCCTCCTAGTCCATTGATCAAAGCAGACGCAGCCACCATCTTGTTCTTACATGACTCAGCATCATCCAGTAAGGTCTGGGTTGATAGAATACAACAGGTATTTGCATTAGACGTGAAAAGGTAGATCATTCAATTCAATGCATGGGTACTCTTCTGCAGCACAAAGGAGGCGAGGATAGTTCTTCAAGAGATTCATGCGCACGTTGTGTAATGAAAGTAATATACCTTGATCTCATCCGGAAGCGCTTTAATGCGAGGCTACACGGGGACAAATCTATTGTTCCATCAACATGGCTTCCGCATGAGAACGTTCCAATTAGATAGCAACATTTTTAAAAACTATCAAAAAAATAAATAGAAGCCCTGCATACATGTAAGTTTTTGTGTCTTGGGGATCGGAGGGAAGGATGCTTGGTATACCTGTTTCTCATTGACAGCGCTGTCATAAAGAGCCTGGACTGCGTCAAGTTCTCGTTGCTTGTCGTCAAGTTGAGCTTGTGCCTTGTTGAGGTCTGCCATGGCATTCTTGAGACGGGCCTCCTGTACTACGAGGTTAGCCTGTGCAGTGGAATAATAATCACATCACATGATAAGCAGCTGATCATGTAACAGGACAACATTGCAGATACCGCAGACGAACCGGCCGCGGACAGAGTTGGATTGGGGGAAAGGGGAATGCTAACGTCTTGGATTTGAGGGCTAGAGGGCCTTCACAACACGTTTTGCTGCGAAAACTCCAAATTAACCAAGTTGACGGAGGGAGGGGAGTTAAAGGTTCAGCAGCCCATCCCAATAGCGATTCCCGACAATGGCAGTCGAAATCCTATTTTCTCTAAACCTTTCCGCGAGAGGTAATAAATCAAATTGAAGTTGAACTACACTGACCTTCAATGGCAAGACTTCTTTGTTGACACCATAGAAAAAAGCCATAGCTATGGTCCAGGAAGACAGTCCAGCAACATTACCGCATACCTTCGCAAGGTAAAGAAAAAAATGCGCCACGATTTAGTATAGGCCTTACTAGTAATGTTAACCCAGGGGAATGATTTTGTGGGAACATTGAAAATCCAGTCAAGTTTTCGAGAATTGAGGAAACCCACGAGGAACCCTTGAAGCAAAATCAATGTCAAAGGAGATGAAAGCACACGCTCTAACTGCAACACCATCCGATGAATCAACTGCGTTAAAGAAAAAGTATTTCTAATGACCTTCTTGGCTGTTTCCAGTGTGTAATCGGGTGCCTGTAGGTAAGGTGCCAGGAGCTCRACAGCTTCTTCATTGATGGTATCTTTCGGAAAGTTCATCAGGGTTTGGAGGAAACTCCCTGAGCTCATAAGCTGTTATGGAAAAGAAAAGAGCAAATCCTCATGTATCTAGCTTGAATACAAGGTATTCCACAACCTCTATGTCCCCCCCCCCCCTTTCTTTTTCGTTCTCCTACGGAAATATTCCTACGGGATATTTGATGGGTCGTGAACTGCGCAAACAAACATAGCTAGTCCACATCTGCCGAATATTCCAAGATACAGACATTTTCTGTTATATGAAACAAACATCTATTCGTACCTTAAGGGCGTCACTCCAGCTGGGGATAACACACACTCGTTCTGGATCAAACACAACGGGAGAAATGTTTCGACGGAACAATAACAGTACACAATCCATGATGCGCATGATCAGGTGAGGCGGTTTGGCCAGTTTTCGTACAGTAGATATGTCAGCAGCTTTGATGGTCTGTGGTCATACAAGAAGCACTAGTTATGTTACATTTGAAGGGCACATATTTAACAGACTGACAGTATATATTAAGAAGACCAACTTCATGTTTACACCATCGCCTGATGAAGACTAGCAGTAGCAGTCGAAACGTCGGGGTCCTCCCAAATGCCACAATCATGAGACAAATGAATAAGTATAATCTTTGATTTATTCCACAATGAATAATCTCTTCCATTCCACATATTTATTGCTTTTCACTTCTGATGGTGTTGTCGGTATTTACCTGTAAAGCTGCCTCTGCTTCCTCCAGAGCTGGCTTTGCAGCAGAGAGCTTTCCTTCAGCTATAACTTTGTCTGCCTATATATCGAAGACCAGAGTATTAGAATCAGACATGACTTCAATATAGATCACAATTGTATTACCACTGGTTGGCTTACATTGATCTCGTCTACAATGGCCTGTGCTTTATCTTTGACCTTCTGTACTGATACTTTGACTTTTTCGGCGGCCTGGGCACTAACAGTCACCTCGGCTAACACCTGGACGAGTAGAGAGAATAAAACATAAAATCTAAGTATATCCAGTAGTGGTGGAAACTACAACAAGATTATAGATATCTGATTACTTTTGTGGGTAGCCTATGAAACTTGTTGAGCCTCAGACCTCCCCGCTGCAGGAAATTTGTTCACCGATTATTTTCCCTTGGGTTAGGGAAAGATGCACAGTTCAAAGTGACTAAATACGAAAGGGAAAAAAGGAAAATCCTTACTTTGTCAGCTTTGACCGACGCAATAGCCAATTCCTTCTCTTTAACGACAAGCTCCTTAGACAGCTCGGCGACCGATTCACTGGCCTCTACTAGTTTGTCTAGACCTGTCTTCATACGTTCTGCAAGCTCGCCGATGTGGGATTTGTTTTCCTGATAAATGGTCTTGTATCCATCGATGAAGGATAGATAGGACTTTGGGGTGACGTGAGTTTGACGTCGGAATCTGCAGGTAGACGGACGCGAGAAGGATTGAAAAAAGGCGCATTGTGATGCGTCATGGGATGTTTCGGCCGGGATAAAAGAGGTGGAGTTCAATAGACCTCCTCGGCTCGGCGTAATGTTGCCCCATTTCAGACCACGTGTCATTCCCTTGAGAACAATATTCTTTGTTTGAGTTGTACCCATATTCATGTGTCTTCTCAAGTGTAACCGAGCGCAAACCTTAAACAAAGAAATGATACTCTAGGGAATGACACGTGGTCTGAAATGGGACAACATTACGTCAGAGCCGAGGAGGTCTATTTTACGCTGTTTTTCAAAGTACATTAAGATAATACTTGGTTATCAAGAAGGTAGCTAGCATCTTACTCAAGGCTTACAAGATATCATGGGTGTCCTTACATAACACTAGTAACCTCATAGAATGTCTCATACCTTTCAAAGTACTCAGTACATGTTTCAGCCACAATATCATGGAATACACCCATACTCCTCACCACATTACTCTTAGTCTCTGTTGTGCACACGATGTCAAACTTAGACAGGAAGTAGTCTGCGACAGCGATCAGAGCATCTTTGGGCCAGCGGGTGAACCAGTCCATGGTACAGCCGCTGATCAACCCGGGGAACTTCAAAGATCGATTGCGGAATTTCTCTCCCACCTAGAAATATAAATAGAATTTGGGTAAATAATGCCACTTAAATGCTTAAGTTACCTAGACGAGACAGGTTTTTATTTACCGGAGAGAAGCATAAGACTACATGTAGGTTCTTGCGAGCCCTGGATATAAAATAGCTGTACAGGTTATCCTGGGTGGGAGGTACACGTGGCAGCTCTTTCTTCATGACTGGGATCAGATTTTGGGAAATCTCGTCCAACTCATCTCGAGCAAACAAATTGGATACCTGGAAAGGAATAATTTATGTCTAAAGATCTACAATCTTGGATGTTCCCAGAATCCGTTTGATTCCTGGCCGACCCGGCATCTTATATGAGAAGAGATTGTTAGGTCTGTCCTTTGATTCGAGGGTTTTTCTCCTGTGATTTTTCTCCCTCTGCAAAACCTAACAAACTATATTTCGATTCCATCTGTGAGTTGGCCATCCCCTGACTTAGATCAGCCCAGAGGTTATTTCAGGGATTGATATGTGAGTTAGCCATGCCCTGACTTAGATCAGCCCAGAAGTTGTTTTAGGGTTCAATCTGTGAGTTAGCCATGCYCTGACTTAAATCGGCCCAGAAGTTGTTTCGGGGTTTGATTTGTGAGTTCGTCGTGCCCTGATTCTCTCAGAATTTGATTAAGAGTATCGATGACAATTGAATTTTCTAGGGTCATTATGTCAATGTTGCCCTACCTCTCCCGATGATAGTACGTTGTTGAGGTACTCCAGGAAGGCTTCGTCCTTGATCTCATTGTCAGTGAATATGAACGTTATTCCCTTCCCGTCACAGCCAGCAACACGGTACAGGTTTTTCAAATCATCCATCAAGTTACTCACGTTGTACGTCCTTGTGTAGAAAAAAGATAATCATTTACTGACAAAATCAATGCGGTCTTTCGAGACACTACGTCTGACGGTAATCATGTCAATCTTGGTCGCTCAAAACTACAAAAGAACCTTATCTTACCTAGACAGGGTTATTTGGAAGATTTTRTAGCCAGCAATGAATGAGGCTAATCTGGTAAGCGACTGTTTCCCAGACCCACCGACACCAACCAATAGGGCGTTGCCACACGAGGTACGTATCACTCGAGATATCTGAAGTTACAACAGACAAATTCAAATAATTATTCAATGCTTCTGCGACACAGAGAACTCCAGAAACGGCACATTAAGTCCTATTTTGAAAATTTTACTGAATTAGTCATTTTCAATAGATGAAAGCCGGAAAAACCGGAGGGTGGATAGCGCTATCCTACGGATAAATCTTATCCAGTGGATRAATTTATTGGATAAMAGCATYGMTTTATCCACTGGATAAGGATTTATCCATCAGATAGCGCTATTCACCATTCGTACAACYGGGYCCTGGAAGTAGACGAGGTCGTCACCTGCATGTAAGGCACTTGCGCGGAGATGCTGCGTCAAAAAAGTGATGMTGATTGAATTTTGCGTTAGCATTAAAGAAATCCATTGTTTTGTTCTGAAAAYGAGCTCCATYATATCTGGTTTGCAATACCCTGCTTCACTGTATTGGATGGATTGCCTTACCTTGACCAAGTGCACCWTGGCATCCTTAAAGAATACGAGGTCTARATGTCCTCCCCTCGCTGTCTCATTCAGGCTCCATTATATCTGGTTTGCAATRCCCTACTTCACTGTATTGGAWGGATTGCCTTACCTTGACCAAGTGCACCATGGCATCCTTAAAGAATACRAGGTCTAGATGTCCTCCCCTCACAGTCTCATTGTACATTGTCATGTACATGCTCAGTTTTTCGTTCAAGAACTCGAAACTCGGTACCTAAAAACAGACAGAATATGACAATTTTTTGAAAAACAACCCCAGAACGTGAATGGATAATTTTTTTCGGGATTTTAATGTAATCTTACCAATTCATAAACCTTGGGTGCCTCAAGTTCTGCGTCATCGGCTTCCTCTCCCGTTGGTTCTGGTGCTTCCCTTTAAAGGACAGTTAGAAAGTAAATAGTAATATGCTTTGTTACTTACTACGGACCCTCCATCTACCCACTTACTTATTTGCCTCCTAAACTATCGGCACCTATCTATCAACCCATCTACCTGAGCACCAAGACAGTTCACATGTACAAACCTAACAACCTATGTAACCTAAAACCTATTCACTTACTTACCTCCCGATATATAYAGATACCCACCCACCTCCCACCAACCAGTCRAMAMCCTACCTTAAAAAGTCAACAAARTAAGGTTCGTCCATCAGTTCTTGCGCTGGTTCCTCGCCAAGACAGTCAAGTAAAGTCTTGTTTAGGCAYTTTTCATACCACTGCCTATCGGCTTCATTCGTAAAGCGGTCGGCAATCACTCGGGTACATTCGTGTTTCCACAGAGCTAGCACGAGCTTACGGCTGTCTATCTCAGTTCCTGTCACGTTYAGYATGCCTTCCCAGATTCGTGACAAGTCACGCAAGTTGAAGATGTAATGGAATTTGGCGGGAGTTGGAAGCATTTTAACCTTTTACATAAGGAAAAACATCAGCCCTTCTAAGACCTTCAAACGAATTTGGTACGCGCAGTTTTATCGAAATGGGCAATGCATTATTGACATTTTTTGTCCAAAAGTTCCAAAATGTTTATCGTTTTAGTGTTTTGTGCATCGTTCATCGTTCGTCGTTCTACAGCAGTATGCAGTTAATAGTATTCTTTAACAAAGAACTTGGCTTGAAGAGCAAGACTTAATCATTACCTTGGTCTTCTGCCACAAAATTCGTGTGCAGGCGACAAGGTTCTCTATCGTCTCGCAGACGTCTGGCTTGAAGCGTTCAGAACAGAAATAGCCCGATCCGATTACACCTGGAAGAGAGCGGCACAAACAATGCGTTACGAAAAATAAAACTTAGACACTAAAACAACTACACGAAAAAGGATAAAAGAGCAAGCGAAGATATAAGATTAACACCAGGAAAAATAGGGACACTTCTCAAATGTCACGTTATACGTAGAGTCATTAAGCCTGTGTACAGCCGCTTCCCACCCCTCCCCCCTACGAAAAAAAAACGGGGAGGGAGCGCACGTAATTCATTCCCTCTTATATAACTCTCTATTGTAGCAAAACACCTCGCATACAACCTGAGATGATTTCATTCTTTCGTGATACTATATAATCAAGAGAAAATTTTCTCTTGATATGATTCAAGAATTAGGTCTTTCGAGAGTGAGTACAAGTGAGATATCCGTTTTACTATCAAATCTTACCAAAGATCTTGTCAATAGAAGCGTTTGAAGGCAGCGTGCAGTTGAAGATGGAAAACTGTCGCTTCAGTCGCTCAGGAATGTCGTTCCTTCCTCCTCCAGGGTGAATCATGGCMGCGATGAACTGGATGTCTACGATGTGGGTAAATTCACCAGGCTTCTCGAGGTTATAAAATCCTTTCATCTCCATCAGTTGACGCACTATCTCATTAGTCACCTATTCATAAAATAGACAGCAAAGGTATTTCACGACTGTGATACCTCAGGTATCCCAGTAAAATACAAGTCTGATGGCCGGATTACCTGGTCACCCCATTCATTGATGATAGGCATGTTAATATCATCCACGAAGGTAGTCATTTTACGACCKGCAGGAGGTCCATACGTGGTACCAACACGTTTGTCCACTAGGCTCTCGATCGTACGCTGAAGAAATTACATACAGGTTTTAAAACAACACTATTGACAGCAACTCTACATTATCTAAACACTTAAGTTGTTATTATTATTATTATTATTATTATCGTGTCTATTAATTTCCAAATTGTACTCGAGATCGTGCGATTTCCTATACTTATTATTATTATTATTATTATTATCATTATCATTATTATTATTATTCCCATTTATTCTTAGGGTGCATGTTACATCATTGCCGCCATATTGGTTGACCATATAAAGTAAAGCATTCCTCATTAGCTTCTCTTGTTTGATCAACCAAGATGGCGGCAGTTTCATCGTTATTTATATTTCAAGGGATTTCTCGGTCACGTGATTGAACTCCAAGAATGGCGAGGATTTGCTTTCTTTCATTGTCAAATACCTGGAACAGTAATGGTGTAGTGGCAGAGGAAAAGTTGAAGCTCTTGGCGACGTGTTGTTCAGGGTTGTACTTGGACATATAACCCTTTATCATGACAGTCTTGGCAGTTCCTTGCTCTCCAATCAGCAGCACAGCCTAGAAAATATAAATCATTCATCTAATGACAAACTGAGGAAGAAGGTCAATAATCATTGGATAGGACGAGTCGGTAGAACGGAGCATTGCCGGGTATCGAGTGGGAGGACTAGTGGGGAGAATGGACAACTGTTAACCAGGCTGGAGAAAATGAACAATATAAAAATATGTAGTTTTATTGTATAGTTAGGATAGTACGTGCGCGCTGGTATTGGGCAAACACTGTGCTTTTTTAGTGAACGGAGAACAGTGCTGACGCCATCCGCGCGCGCGAAGTGTTGCAAGATCCTCTGACCGTCTTTCTCTTTACGTAAATAAATTCAATACCGCAATAAAATTAGTAACTATGTAACAAAACGAATAAAACAGCTTCTTCCGTGCTACTTCAGTAATAAACAATAAAGAAGCGCCGTAAGCACTCAAGAAGTGAGTGCTTACGGCATACAGCTACGGCTACGGCTACGGCTACGGCTACGGCTACGGCTACGGCTCGTGCTTCTCCTTACACTTCTTTTGTGCATACGTCACTTCCTGCCTGCTATATTACTAAACAGATAACGGAAAAAGCTGTTTTATGCGTGTCTTTGGGCCTGATCCCTAGTGGTTAGTGGTAAACCTGATACTAAAAGTCTCGATTAGAGTCGGTGCAACCCAGTGCAAAGAGCTCAGTAAAAATTAACGAAATAAACACAAGCGTAAAATAACACGTTGCGATACCTTTCCCTGCTTCGAAATGGTGTCGATAAGGAAGTTGGTTCGGATGTTATCCACGTTAGGTACCAAGATGGACGAATACTCTGGCTTGGAATCGGAAGGATARATGTAATCTACCACACGATCATTCCAATGTTCCCAATTGCCTACCAATGAAAATAAAAATGAAATCTTGAGGGATCGTTCAATTCTTTACGGGGAAGGGGGCTGGTGGGATTTAGGGGAGAGGGGGAGGGGAAGTAAAGAATATGGCATTTCAAGGGGGGCACCCATAGATTTCAAAATTCATTTGAAAAATCATCCTGTTTTATAGGGGCCACGTAAAAAACATTCAGGTTATTGGGAAGAAGTCATATATTTAAAAAAATTACAATTCACAAAATCCCAGCAGCCAAGGCAGTTGAAGATGAACACCTCTCTTCCCTCCCTCAACCATACCGTCATCCCACGCACGCATACGAATGAAGCTGACTCCTTAGATATAGTAATAGCTACTGATAAATCAAGATGAGATAAAGAACATACGAACCATTGGAATCCACCACATATTCAAAGATGGTATTCTTGCCTTCTTCGTCTATTGGAGGTAGGTCTAATCCACTGCGTTTTAAGAGAAATTCTTGCATCTTGGCTCGATCGTCAAGTTCTAGAAGAGCTCCAACGCCCCACATCAAAGCAAACACAAACAGCTTGCTGAGGTGTGAGGCGGATARAACACCATGTTCCTCCTTGCATGGTATAAGTCCTTCTAGAAGATCAATGCACTGAAACCAAAACACTCAAGCTATCACTGAGTTTATCACTGAGTTTGCTTTCATAGTATTTATCTTAGCATAATTTTAGAGTGCGCGCACTAAACCCGTGAAACAAATACTAACTTTCAGTACTAAATGGTGATAAATAAACAATAGAAAACAAAGGACTCTGTATGAAATAGTACTAATTAGCATTAATTAATGTTCACGGATTTAGTGCGTGCACTCTATTGTATATAAATAGAATCGTTTTACCTTCATAGTACTTATCTTAGTACAATTTATTTATTCATTTATTTATTATTGTCTTATTTTAGGGCCTCTATTGATAACAGTTTTTTTTACAGTTTTGTAAATACTGAGAGAGTTACCATGCTTGAATAAAGGAATCTATCTATCTATCTACAAAAAAACTTTACTCTCAAATGTTGAATTGTTGCTCGGGGTTAGTCTCGATGTTGTGTAGGATATTCAAGTCTTCCAGTGAAGGTCCGTGGAATTTCAAAGCCAGCGTTTGTGTTGTTGAAGTCATGCCATCTTTAATTTACCGTTTGTATATATTTGTATTTTTTTAGACACTGAAATGAGGCTAACTCTGAGTAAATGAGTCTGTAATCAAGGAACACAGGGGTAATTTAGGAACTAGAAGAAGGTAAAGAGGACGCTTTTCGTAGATTCCGTAATCCAGATTATCATCATCGTGTTTTTTTAAATAAAAAAATAATATGTTTCTTAAAGATTTTAAAATAAAATTGAAGACTAGCATACTCGACGTTTCGACGCCTTCCGACGTCATTTTCAAGAGTGAAAGTATGTATTCAAGTGTGTTTATGTATTCAAATTATTACTTTGCTTTACTTTCTCTCTTGAAGATGACGCCGGAGGGCGCCGAAACGTGGAGTATATTAGTCTTGAATTCTATTTAAAAAAATAATACAAAATGTATAACACCAGAAATTAAAAATATGCACAATTTACAATGATAAGTTCTACCTGTTTGATGACGTTGCATTGCAGGATCTCCATCTTCATGTGCAGGTTTTGGGAGACATACGTGATTAGTTCGTCGAAAACACCAGAGAACAGCTGCTCAAAGACATCATGCTCTTGAGGCTCGCGAGAATTAAGCCATGCCTAGTTTTGGTCAAACAAAAAACAAAAAGAAACTAGAAATATGAGCATACARACATTTCATTACTTTGCGCATTACTTTCTGTTTTRATTTGAAAACGCATTCAAAAATATAAAAGATGACAATGAGGAATAGCGTAAGGAAACTATGCCCAATGCAAGTGGGTCTCATGGGGCCGGTATTGCTCAAGAGGTAGGATTGGAGAATCATCATCCAACATGATTGCTAGGTTTAGCGACTCGTCCACAAAATAATTATGGCACTAGTATGTTGTTTGTTTTGTGTGTGCGTCTTTAAGTCTGGTGTCAACACTGTTAATTCTAGTTAATCATCATCCAACATGATTGCTAGGTTTAGCACCTCGACCACAAAATATGGTACTAGCATGTTGTTGTTTAATCTGTTCTTATTCCTATTGCTAATAGAGTAGGACCTTAAGGATTGGATTCCACTCCATGACAGATGAGCTCATGTAGACCATTCCATTCCTGGACACGGTGGCTGGTGACGCGTTATCGATGTTGTGAGGCTCAAACACGATCTTACATTGAGGAGACATTGGAATACGATCACCGTTGGCTAGTGTCAAGGTCTTGTTGTCGTCYAGGACACTGTTTAGATTCTCGATCCAGATGGCATCTACTGGACCATCCAGCACTATCCAGATGTTTTCACCTTAAAAAGAAGAAGAAAAAGAAGAAGAAAAAGAAGAAGAACATATAAGAACGATATCACTCTCAACAACATTACCACCACCACCATCATCATCATCAACACCATCATCATCATCATCGTCATCACCACCATCATCGTCGTCGTCATCATCATCACCATCACCACCACCATCAGCACTATCACCATCACCAGCATCATCATCATCATCACCACCATCATCATTGTCATCATCATCATATATTCATCATTATGTAATCATCATCATTCACCATGATTCATCAGCATTTTCATCATCAGCACCATCAGCATAATCAAAGGCACCATCACTACCATCATTATCATCATCGTCGTCTCCATTACCATTACAATTACCCATAGTCAAGTATCTTAATGAAAACGGAATTGAAAAAGAAAGAAACAAAAAGAAAGAAACAAAGTAAAGAGTAAATGGTTTTCCATCTCTTTTCCTCATTCAAAACAAGCCCTCTATACCTTTCTTAGCCTTCAGTGTCTTCCTCCACAGCGTAGAAAAGATCCCATCCGTCCAGTCATTAGTAGCSACATCTAGTCTGCCAAACATCTGGGGTGCTGTGATGGCTTTTGGATTCATTCTCATCTCTCGATGAGGTTGACCGCAGTCACCCATGGCTTTCATCAAGGTGTTAATACAAGTGGTTTTACCAGCTCCACTGGGCCCTAGTGTCATCATACCATGGCGTACACGCTGGGTCTCGTAAAGCTAACGAGATAAAAAAGCGTAATAAATCTGTGGATGTACCTAGTGAAAACAATATCCAAAGTTGCCCGCGTTTTTAAAGGGGGAGTGGATTAGTGAAGACCCTGGAACGACGCTTCCTGTTTCTGCAACTGCGTTTCTAATGCATAGAGCGTTGTATAGAACAGTTGTAGAGACAAGTTCAGAAAAAAATACACATAAATAAAATTAAAACAAATACATCTGGTTTTTATTTTAAAATGGTGAATTGTAGCCAACAGGCAAAAGTGTCAAAAATATGAATAGGTGAGAAAAAGGTAGGAATAAATTTGGAATCTAGAGAATTGAACAACTACCTGGATGATCTTTAACACCCAAGGAGCATGGAAAATAAGACCTGCTTCTTCGGTATTTTTCTGTATGAATCCTTCTAGTTCAGGGTAACCAGCTTTGTCCAGGACAATACCAGGGAATAAATCATTGATGAGACTAAGGAACAATGGTTCATCTTCATCGACCTTGAAATCAAATCAGGACACAAAAGATGATGGTTAATGATCCTGATGGTGATGATGACGATGATATATGATGATCATATGATATGATGATGTTGATGCCAGTATAACCAAGAAGGCAAAAATATAATGATTATGCAAATGCGTGTTGCTCTTGTTGCTGATGATGGTAACGTACGATGATGATGATGATTGTGTTGAAGAACATGACAATGATGATAGAATTAGTGATGGTAATGGTGATGATGTTGATAGCGTTGTTGTTGATGATGAATATGCTGATAAAGATGATATGATGATGCTACTGATGTTGATGAGCTACTTCTGCTGCTGCTGCTGACGATGGAGTATTAATCAGTTGTCTTGACAGCTATTATATGAGATTCATGCTTTCTATTCTCTAGGATTGAACAGCAGACATTTGAACATCATATACAGTTGCTGCAAGAAAAAAAAAATCTCTAAAGCATTCATTCCTATTCTTACCAGTTTGGATAAGTTCATATCTCTTAGAACCCTCATGACTGATGTGGACTCACTGTCCTGAGGGTTAGCTCGTTTGGCTGCTCCAAGAGTACGCAGCACAGACAGAATATTACGAAGACCAAAGTCATAATGAACCTGAAATACAACCGATAATTCATTAAAATAAATGAGAAATGGCTGTTGAAAAAGCTAGACTTACTAACCTGTTTGCTCAGTTGCTCTTCACAAAGTTTGTACAGGGTGTAGAACTTCTGGGCCAGGATCACGTTCTCGATGAAACCACAACTGGCGAGTTTTACTCTCATGATGATCTGCAAAGAAACGGATGGTTAAGACTCACTAGCAATAGTAATAATGGGAATTGATAGGAGTAAATGAGAATGAGAGTCAGAATGGGAGTGAGAGGGAATTAAATGGGGGTAAAGAGGAATAGAGGGAAGTGAATCAACGTACGGGAGCGTAAATGGAAATAAAATGCAGCTTTAATAAATATGCTTTTTCGTACCTGTCTGTCAGGCACCATCATGGCAACCGTTCGAAACTGGATTTTCAGGTTTTCTGGCAACTCTTGACGACCAGCATAACCGGGATTCTACAGGCAGACAAAAAAATATTACTTGATTCTGAACCAAATCGTATTTGCTTAGAGTGCACCTAACCCCTGATACAATACTTTCAGTATTGATTCTACATAAAGTGAATAGTTGAATGGTGAAATATTTTTTTCATTTGAATGTTGCGTCTCGTTCGTTTTTTGCAAAGTATAAACCTTTATAACTTATAGACGCAACATTTAAATGAAGAAATATTTCACCATTCAATTATTCACTTTATGTAGAATCAATACTGAAAGTATTTTATCAGGGGTTAGGGTTTGAAGAAGCACTAGTTCTTATTACTSACCATTGTCAAAAATATCCCAAACTCTGGATTCAAATCCACAACATCTCCATCACTGAAGATAAACTGTTTCTTCCTGTCTTTCTTTGCTGTCAGCACGATGTAGATCTGTTGTGCAGCCACGGACAACACAGGGAGCTCAATACGGTTGAACTCGTCAAAACAGCCCCARCTGCCAGACTGGGCGAGGCCTGGAATATTACAAGAAATAGATGCMTTTTAGAAGATATTTTATAAGGTCAACCTTGTCAATATTTACAGGTGTACCTTTGTAGATGCGGCCCAGACCACGGAAGTCCATCTGATCAGAGCAATTAAAGACCACAACATACTTTCCTAGAGCTTTACCCATGTCCTTGGTGGTTTCTAGTTCACAAAAATACAGATGGTTAGAACACACCCCCTTAGGGTGGGCCCTTCTGGAGGGACTATGATACATGGTACACATATGCATATCATATCATATGCTTCCTATTTCCATCGCTGTTCGCTAAGAGCAGTATTTGCATATCAGAATATGAATATAAGTGCTTAACCAATAAAGAGCTTTGCTAATAAAAAACACAAAATCTGAATACGTGTGAGTAATATTCAATACCTGTTTTTCCTGTTCCTGCAGGTCCGGCCGGTGCCCCACCCATAGACATGCCAAGTGCCTGTGCAAGAGTGATATAACATCGATCTGTCAATGGTGTAATGACCAGTCTGTCTGTGCAGCCTAGGAACTCGTTCTGATAGCTGAAGTCCACGTCAGTGATAGAAACAATGCAGTCATCRATGTCGTCTTTGAAGTAGAAACGGGACTGTTTTAGCCATTCGAAATCTGTTACAGAACGAATGTGCATCTTGACCTGCGAATCAAATATACCGTATCTCTGTCATTACAGTGGGGGAGGAGTGGGTGTGGGTAGGATAGTACTGACGCTGCCAATAAAAACCTTGATCTTGACGCCAGAGARGTTATTTGCTCAGTTTACATTTACATCTAGTTTACATTTCTAACCTACCAGATCGTCAAAGATGTCTCTCTGATGCACGTGGATAGTGACAAGGGTCTCAAACTTCGTTCTTTCCATCTTGGTCAGTTCTTGTGTGGTTACGTCAATAAGAGAGTTGAGGATRTTGAGGAACTTCTGATTGGTTGTTGCCATGATCTTCTTGTCTTGACGGGCATGCTTCAACGCCTCTTCCGCATCTCTTGTCCATATCATTTGGATGCCTAGTAACCCGACCTACAGTAACAAAGCCTTTACTTTGGGACTAACGTATGTTTGGGCAAATTGTAAACAATTTGCMGTGAGAGGCGCWGGAAAGGATAGCTCAGACAGTCATGGGWGTCACTGGTTTAGATMACACAGTTGCATGGTTTCAGGTGAARGTGAAGTTTAGTCAGGAATAAGGATAGTTCAGACAGTCATGGAAGTCACTGGTTTAGATAGCAAAGTCACATACCTGCGCAGGAAATGAATTCATGAAAGACATCAAGGCAAAAGACGGCTCGTTGATCGCATGGTAGGCATCCCTGATSACACCATGTAGCGACGCCATGGCCATGTTTAATAGCTCACCCAGCCATACTTCCACGTTACCTTTRGCCATTACTGGGTTTTCAAGCTGAAAACGTAAGAATACGCCCCATGAAAGGCTARAGCTTGAATACTATCATGTCATTGGGAAAGAGCCGAAGAGATTTGGGACAAGGCCAACCAAGTTTTTGCGCAGACAAAACGGAAGAGTCATCATTATAATCATTAATCCAATTATTCTTAATAGAATTTTGAATACTTGTTACTATATTTCCAGAAAGGTAGATTGAATAAACTGATTGATTGATTAATAAGGTTCTGCCACTATAGATTTGAGAGTACAATGGGTTACGACATTTATTTCTTTTAGATAGAAGGGTTGTTAATTTTTCCATGACAGCCCATGGTAATTAATCCGGCACTCCCCCTCCCCCCTCCTCCCCCCCTCTCCCCTCTTTCTCAAAAAGAAATGCCCCATCATTCCTACTACAACATAATGGAGTGTGACTGTGCTGGGTGCCTGGTGGACAGCGGTAAACCATTTTTTAGACTATAAGTACCATACTCTTGACAATTAGATGAAGAACCACTTCTCCCGTCTTTCCCTTCACACACATAATTATATTATTTATAGGATATATTAGAGTAAGTTCGATGACTTACCTGTACAGTTTCTCCTTCASAGGACACAATAGCCAGAATCCTGTCGTAGTCTTTATCATGGAACTCAACAGTTTTTACGTTGTCAAACACGTTGAGAAGGTGAGCCTAATAGGAAAATGGAAATTTGATGAAGATGAGTTATCGGTAGAGGTATCAATCAATAGACGTCGGTATCAATCAATAGACGTCCCAGTTTTGCTTAGTTGAGCTTTTATTTCTAAATCATGTCAAGAATAAGGAGGGATGGAATTCATAAATAAGGAAAGAGAAAAATAAGTAAGACAAAGAAGAAAAAGGCAAATAGGAAGGAAGGAAGGAAGGAAGGAAGGAGCGAAGAGGGGCATGGAAAGAAGAAAGAGTTGAATGCAACTTCAGTCTGCTCTCGCTTCTTGTTTACTTTTTTCTCTCTCTCCTAGAAACAATAAAAAAAGCTGGGAAGTTAACTAAATAATGCTTTTAATACCCTACCTGTATGGTGTGAGAGTCGCTAGCCTGACCAAGAATCTCCAACAAAGCGGGATCTGACACGAAGAAAAACCGCGGGAATACTAAACGCTTCTTTTCAAGATATCTGCAAACAGAATGACAGAGCTGTAAGACATTAACAGTCTTGCCTGCATGTGCCAGGTTCTATAGAAAATACCTTGGAAAACCCAGGATGAATAGGAAGAAAGACTACAAGAAAAGAACTAACATCTTACCCGGTAAGAGACTTCTGACACAGTTCTAGCTGCTCCAGCAAGTGTGGTAGTAACTGTCCCAGGGTCTCATCGCCAACACAACATATCACAACATTGGTTGTCTCGTGRGCTCGTGTCATGATTTTCACCCAAGATTTGTCGATACTAGCAAAACGCTTGGCTTCCTACGATTAGAATATCAATGGAGCTAACAAATACTACTACACTTCCCTCTGTACTCTACCCAAAACTACTCATAATAAATAACTAATAAGGAAATGAGAAGGCCAAGAAAGCTAGCAGCTGTAAAAAAGCCTTTATCATCGATTCTTCGGTGCACGTTATTCTTCATGCGTTTCTGGTAAATATGCCGTTATCTCTGCGTATCGTGCTCTATACTCTAATAGAGCACGTTCGTCCACCAATCGAAGCGCATTCCATAAAGGATTAAACTAAGCATCAGTATGATGTGTAACTGACCTTTGGCAGCTGTTTAGCAATGTCTCCACCTACAAACACAGCTTCTAAGTAGACCCAGAGGTTCTGCACTACCATCCAGTTTTCTATGATGTCTGAGGTATTGGACAACTTTTGGACCCACAGCTGGATTTCCTTCTTGAAAGGAGCGTTATACCTTAGAATACACGAACAAGATCTGTGTTAGCCATTTAACGTATCATCATTGTATAAGGAAAAATAATGGTTCAGTTTTGTTTGGAGAACTTAATACTGCTAATGTTATGGTCCCAAGTGTGGTAGCACACAACCTGATAAGTGCCTCAAGGGCGGATCAAGCAAAAATTTTAGGGGGGGGGAGGGCTAATTGAGTTTAGGAGGGGCTAACTGAGTTTCTTCCGTTAACACAACGAAAAACAATATAAAAAAGCATCGTTTTTTTCTGCTGAAGGGGGGGGGGACTTCAGCCCCCCTTTGCTCCCCCCCCCCTAGATCCGCCTTTGACTCTCTTGACTGAATGACTCGTTAAATGACTTTCCCTGGTGTAATCACAAAGCTAGAGCCTTTTGTGTACGTCCACCGTAGTCTTTTTATTTATGAGAAGTGCGTATTTATCTTCATTACYTTTTAACATACATATAGCCCTTTGAGTATGATTCTCAGCTAGATTACTTGTGGATAAGCAATGAGCTTAGCAACAACCAYATCATATTTATTCTTTTAGGGAAGGTCTACGTTGCCGCCCTATTCCTACATTACCTGTTGCTAAGCAACGAGCTCAACATCATCAAGCTGTCTTCCAGTAACGACACGATCTCCGAAGTCTCCGCGCCTTTGAGCAGAAGTTCGCCGCGATTCTTGAAATTGGCAAAGGAAAATGACTGGGAGCGCCATTCAGCTACTACTTGACTAAGCTTAGCTTCAATGTCTTTTTCCTTGACTGCTGAGATACAAATGTCCTGAGAAAGCGAAGATATATATTTGTATSAGACCTTGAAACAGGACTGTCCTTCCATCGTCTATCGACATGGGCAGCGGAAGGGGTGGGGCAGGGACGCTATAGCCCCCTCCAACACTTTTTCCCTCTTTCCCTACRAGTCTCTTATATTTTATTTATTACTTTATTTAATTTATTTTCTTAATTTTCTTATATTCTTCATCTTAGCTCCCACTATTTTTAGGTTCCTCCGCGGCCCCTGATCGACCTATGTGCAGATACAAGGGAGCGGTCAAGGAAGTATGACCTTTACATTTCAACATTTCATATCATATTATTTCTTCATCTGTCACCTTTTTAAGAACCTCCTCGGCTATGACGTAATGTTTTCCCATTTCAGACCACGTGTCATTYCCTAGAGTATAATTTCTTTGTTTAACGTTTGTGCTCGRTTGCACACGAGAAGACACATGAATATGGATACAACTCAAACAAAGAATATTATTTTCAAGGGAATGACACGTGGTCTGAAATGGGACAACATTACGCTCGAGCGCTCCAGAGCCGAGGAGGTCTATTCTTCGTCTCTTTGAGAGTATTTTGTGGGTTGGGGGTTCAAACAACTTAACAGAGATGTGACAGTCACTCGACAACTTAACACATCCTGACCGAGGGCGACCACTGAGCGCTCCATCCATCTACAATTCTACTGACCACACCCTTGAAATAATGTGACTGGTCGCTATTGAAATTTCAAACCGAATTTTATTTACCTCGATATCTTCCTTATGCTTCAGGAGAGGTGCCTCCATGATGTTTCTAAGCTGGAAGTTTTCATTCTCTACATCAAACTTGTGTCCTGTAAGGTTGGCTAGTCTATCCCAGTGACGTTCTTTCATTGCTTTGTTAGCCATTAGCTCAAGCAACGGACAGGATTCACTGAAGTCATCGACGGTCTTTTTCAGTTCTAGGAAAGCATCCCATTCTTTGAGGGCCTTGGGAAGCTTGCGACATCTAAGATTGAGAAAAAATGAACGCAATGTT